CCAAATTTTATTGACGGTCAAAGCGACGGTCGGCCCACACCGTCACTAAAACATTTAAGGACAGCGGGGTCAGCGACAGTTTGCTGTCCGTCATTAAATATTTTTGCGACGCTTTTGACCGTCACTAAAAGTCTGTATGACCGTCGCTAAAACACCTTTCTGTTGTAGTGACCATTCTATAACAATTACCTCAATTACAAATATATGACGTAAAACTCACAGATGAATTGTTATTTATTATGTATCATTAAACAAAACTTATTACATAAGTCTTCTATAATAACGAAGACAGTACGTAAAGTTTATGAAAGATGGTAATTTCTTATGTATCGGTTGAATAAACATAAATCATAAGGCTTTCGTAATACAAGTTTGAATTGTTGCGGTTACTTAAACCGTGTTAGTATTGGGCCTTGTTGGGTCTTGTCCGAGTTGTATTAGGTACGAATATTTGGCTGTACTCAACTCTTCTTGTTAGGGTTTTAACCCTAGTCTATCTCTATATAAGACTTAGCTACGAACCTGTCGTAAGCAAGCCGTCAAGATGCAATCCTAATAAAAGATCAGCTGTGCACTCTTATGAGCTCACCGTGGATTAGTCTCGATCAATCGATCGATGATACCACGTAAAATCCCTTGTCTCGTGTTCATTTATTTTCGCGTCATCAAATTCTACATGGTATCAGAGCAAATCTCGATCTACTAGGTATTGCAATCTTCCGCAGCCTCCAATCAAGGTGCGTCCTTACACCTTGCTGCCGCTCGTCTCCGTTGCAACCATGAGAAAGGCCAATGTTGCTGCTAGCTGTTCAGGTCGGAGGCTGAGTTCGTCCAGCCCCAAATCTCGTCGACGACCACCATCTGCCGCCACCGCTATGTCATATTCTCTAGCAGCATGGTCTTTTTGCAGGTCATCATCAAGTACCGATTTCAGTCAGTGGTCAATCAAGGTCCGGCCGCCATCATGTCTGTGTCTCCGTCAACACTCACAATCAAGCTTGTTTCTCGGATTCAAGTCACCGTCCCAAGTTGTTGCATTGTTTTCTTGGGCTGCTTCATCATGTACTTAGAAGGGTCAAGCTCAGCAACTGGTGGGAAGATTCCCGTCGTTCCTGTCGATGTCATAGATTTCCACAGTCGTCATCAATCGCAGAGGCGTAGACCTCCGATCTCCCTCCGAGAAAGCTTGAAGCTCTCAACATCGCCGTCAATGCCGCCACAGTCTCCATCAAACGGCTGCGTATCGTTTCCAGCTTTGCCTCATGAGTCCTTTCGTCGTCAATCTGCCACCATTGCCGTCAGCGACCGTGCTCTTGTTATCGGTCGTCGCCACCATAGACGTAGACCTAGATGGTGAATCGAGCGTTGTACCCATCATCCCACTTCACAATGTCTCTGCTCACTTATGGATGCTGTGATGTTATATGGTGCTCCCTTCCACTATTGCTAATTCTGCTCAGTCGTGGAAAGGTATCAGTTGTTGAATTCTTGTCGTGCCATGCGACTCAAGCTCAGCCTTCCAGTCATAGTTTTGGTCTTGTGCATTGATGTAGATGTTTTTGTTTACTTTCAAGCTGGGAATTCACTACGTTCATGCATCAGATTGAGGGGGAGAATAGGCATCACCATACGTGGTCAATCAGTTAAGCATATCGACCATGGTGTATCAGTCAAGGAGGTTCCCTAGTCTTGTTCAAGAAAGACGATAGTAAGAAGTCTCTCATTCTGTCTCATTTAAGAGAGGCGCAGTCAACAGCCTCACGATCAATCTCATCCAGGTAGAGCCGCAGTCAACCGTCTCTGTCACGACGTTCAAGAAGACGTAGTCAACCGTCTTCGTCAGGTTGTTCAGAGAGAGATTCAGTCATCTCCAGATCAATCTCATCCAAGATGTCAATGAATTTCGCCATGCTGAGTTCACTGTTAAAAGAACTGGGTCAAACATGGAGTAGTTTCATCATTTGTCTACCCCTCCCACAAGCGAGCGAAGTCACAGCCCGTTGGATCGTCATTGCCAACAAGAGGTTGTTTGAGTGTTGTTCTTTTCAAGCTCGACATTCTTGTCATTCATGTTATTGCATGAGGGAGAGTGTTGAGGATATTAATTACTTAATCAAAAAGTAATTAATTCATGGTCCTCCAAGTCCCTTGTTTCCTTGTCCCAGTAAAAGAAGGAACTTGGTTGTCATTAGGGTTTTAACCCTACGTCTAAATCTATATAAGCTTAGCTACGAGGTTGTCGTAAGCAAGTCGCCACAATGTAGTCTCATAATAGAATCATCAGCTGTAATGTTCACTCCGGCTCTCTAGCTGTTGCGTGATGTCCGACGGGCAAAGATCCAAAAGTAGATCCTGCGAGGTCCAGTCCGAACCACCAACGGCGTTGTCAGCGCCGGCTGCAGAACCATCGCAGTCCTCCGCGTCCCATCATCGGCTAGCAATCAAGAAGCAAAAGATGGAGAAGGAGGCAGGGATTCAACGGTGACGTCCTTCCTGCCGTTTCGTCTTCAACCTCATCACAATCTTTGTCTTCGGCAATCATTAATCCCTGCCGTAATTCACCCAGATCTGTCGGAAAGGTCACCATAACGAAGTGGGCCACATTTGGTTAATTATGTTTGGCTACCGATACTTCGTTAATTATGTTGCATCAGTTCAATTATATGCTCATCATATTTTCCAGCCTTGAATTTGTGGCGGCACCCACCAGAATGGAAGTAAATTTTCGGTGGGACACTTGCCTAGCATTAGGGAAGAAAACATAAAGTAAAATTAACCATCGTGTTTACTTTTGGTCCAAGTTCAGCAAAGCTTATCTACATGCATTCATATTCCCGTTCTAGTCGCAACATAGTCCAAGGCTGGAGTCCCTTGCCATGGGAAACTGATTGATTCCCAGTTCTACATCAACGACATCGCCGCCCACAAGAGAAGATCAAGCTTTGTTCAGTTTAATCATTGGCAACGAAGACAGTCACGACCTAGGAATTGGGATCGTCCCTTCAGCAGCCAAGGTTGAGAGAAGAAGGCAAAATTCTTCCCCAACATCCCAGTCATGGCGTTGAAGACAATCATGACCGTCAGTGGTCATCTCTTCAAATAGCTGGTGTTGAGGAGAAAGAACAACTTCTGTCAACAAAATTTTAAAGTCATTTGATTGAGGCATTCACGATCCATAAAATGGTCATCTTCTGGCGTTCAAAAGTTAGTATGATCAGAGAAGTCATCGTCCCCTCATCGTCCAGTTGGCATTCACGATCCAAGAAATGTTGCGGTTCATTATTGGTCACATATCAACCATTCATCGCCTTTCAAGCCGGGCATTCACGTTGTTCATGGTCTAGCTTGAAGGGGAGAATAGGAGGTCAACATATGTCGGTCGACTAACTCGGTCATCAGGTCGATCGCGATGTACCAAGTGTCTTCAAAGTTCAAAGAGACGCAGTCACCGTCTCCTAGCATCAGGTTGTTTAGAGAGAGTCAGTCGTCTCCAATCAACCTCGCTCGAGATATTATTTATCTCGAGCATTGTGGTTCAAGCCATCATGCTTGTTCTTCACATTTACTTCTTCAAGCTCGACATTCTTGTCATTCATGTCTTCGCTTGAGGGGGAGTGTTGCGGTTACTTAAACCGTGTTCGTATTGGGCCTTGTCCCAGTTGTATTAGGTACGAATACTTGGATGTACTCGACTCTTTTCGTTAGAGTTTTAACCCTAGTCTATCTCTATATAAGACTTAGCTACGAATCTATCGTATGCAAGTCGTCAAGATGTAATCCTAATAAGAGATCAGCTGTGCGCTCTTATGAGCTCACTTTGAACTTTTCTCGATCAATCGATCGAGAATATCACGTAAAATCCCTTGTCTCGTATTCATTTATTTTCGCGTCATCAAATTCCTTATAAATAAATAAACCATACATTGTAACCAAATGATTGATCATCTCATCCATTTACGTTACAAAAAAGTTTTGTAAGATGCTTTAGTTTAGCATAACAGTTTAATCAAATACAATGCTTTACATATCTTAATTCACTTATTATAAAATAAAATTCATATATTGTTACCAACAATACACATTATCTCAACGATTTTCATTATGCCAAGGTTCCCTAAGATAAGTTAATTATATATAATAGTTTAATAAAATGTGATATTTTTCGGAATTTGATTTTATTATTAGTTCACACATTACGGAAGATCAGCGTAAAAAATAGATTATGTAGAACTTATAAAGAGATTATTATTTCTCACATATCAATTAAACAAACTAGTCTTCCTTAAAAATTAAGACTCTATGTAAAGCTTATGAAGGTATCTTTTCCGAAATATTTTACGAATTATCTGATTTCAATTTAATTTATTGGGTTAATATTTTCGTATGGCCTGAACTTTGACCAAAATAAACATCATGGCCAATCTTTTCGATCTATAACATTCTGGCCCGAACTATACACCAAAATAGGTCAACGCGCCACGTCACTGCCAAGTCAGAAGATCTGATAAATATTTAATTTTTTTTGTTTTTTATTTTTGGTTTAACTAAGGTATTAGATGATTTTTTTAATTTATAATAATTTAAAATTAGGGAATGTGTGGAAATTGTGAATTATTTAAAATATTTTATGCTGACTTGGCAATTATATGGCGCGTTGACTAACGGTCAATGCATTTGACCGTCCAAGTTAACGGTCAAAAGTCGGATATGGCCAAATTGTTTATTTTGGTGTATAGTTCGGGCCAGGATGTTATAGATCGAAAAAATTGACCAGAATGTTTATTTTGGTCAAAGTTCAGACCATACTAAAATATTAACCCTAATTTATTAAATGCATAAAATGAGATTTTAAATGTAATTAGTTTCTTATCGCCGCGAAGCGCGATCCAGAAAACTAGTTAATTAATTAATTGAAAACACATACAAGGGACGATACACGCTTGCTTTCAGTGCACGAAGTCATGAAACCAACAAATGACAGTACGTACTTCAGGTACGTCCTAAAGGTTGAGGGCAGTTGGAGAAACATGTGCAGCAATTTCTTGGTCCGCCTCAAACTCAGCCATGTCTTCCTCCTTCAGGTTCACCCACGCCTCAATCCCGCCACCTTCCTTCCTGTCCACGAACGTCACCACATTGACGAAGCTCGACTCGGCCGATACGCCGACCCACAGGGGCTTCCCCCATCCGAAATCAGCCTCGTAGATGGGCATCCTGCACAGGCTGGTGAACACAAACGGCACCCACTCCACCTCCCCTTTCACCTCCTTCTCCTTCAGAGAACTCACCACAGACCCACGACCGCCTTGCTGCAGCTGCTTCCTCACCGCGTCGCCATCCACAGCCCTCGTCCCTTCCCTCATCTTCCTCAAAATCTGCAGCTGGTCGTCCAAATCGGGGACAGCTATAGCCGACGTGAAGAGGTTCCCGAAAGCATTTTCGGGGAGAGGTGGGTCCATCCTCGATCTCAAATTCACTGGGTGACAGACAGTGAACATCTTCTTGTTCTTGTTCTTCTTGTCGTCCTCGTCGTCGTCATTATTATTTTCTCAAGTACTGATCTTCAGGAACCTGGTCCATATGAAAGCTGACAGCGCCTCGATTCTTGTCGGCCTTAGGGAGGATTCCTCTTCTGTGTACCTTGCTTTGAGGTGTGCTATGGTGCTGGCGCTGAAAACAGGCCGAGCTACGGATCCAGATCCAACAGGGAGGTTGATGGGAGGGAATATCCCCGCGAAATCGAATTTAGGAAAACTAGTAGTAGTACTGGACGGATCACGAGCAATTGATGGGTCAGAGTTTTGGACAGGGATTGCTTGAGAAGGTTGCACATTTGGGTATTGGTAGTGTAGTTGTTGTTGGGGAAGAAGAGGACTAGAGGCATGGCGACGGAGGGGGAGAGTTGGTCGAGGGAGGAGAGCGGGTAGCGGCGGAGTTTGTGTGGTGTTGGTGAAGATGGCTTGATTAGTTCCATGGATACAGTTTTTACTGGAACTCGCTTGATTCCATCCATTATTGATGTCTTGTTTTTGACAAGAGACTAGATATATAGTAGGTTATGGGCCACTGGTTGTCATGGCAATTGGACTTCGACTATATTTATAAGGGTCAATATGGGAGTCCAATTGATACCAGCTCGCCGTTTTCTTGGTGGCTCCAAGATTCAGCTGGAAAGGAATGGTCGGATCTTTGAAGGCCGGGTTCTTCCTGTTGGGGTGCTAGCTCGCAAGGTCTGCAGGGTGGTGGTTGAATGGTGCGTGGCTCACGGTAAAGTCGAGAAACAGGCTGGTGGAGCTTGGCTGCAGATTTGCCTCTCCAGGATTTGACTCGCTGCGGAGGCTTCGAGTTCCCTTTCTCGCTGCTCCCAGCCTTGTCCCGGGTTCCTCCCTTGCCTGGGGTGGTGTTGGCTTTGGTTTTCTGTTGTGTCTTTGTCTCTGCTTGCTTCCCGTCCTGGCGCGCGAGCTCTACTCCGCGTTCTTTCTTTCTTTTTCTGTGTTGAAGGCGCCTCTTTTGGCTTTGCCTTCTGCTCTTCTTTGTTGTTGTCATCTCTGTAGGTCAGCTACTCCTTTGTTGGAGTTGGGGTTCCAAAGATGGGTGGCGGAGCATTGATGTCAGAAGAAGAAGTTGAAGTTTGTGTCTGTTAGTCAAAACAGTGTCGTGTAGGGTTATTTCTGTTCAGTCACTTAAGTTAGTTAGTATGTTGTTTGAGTCATGTTCGTGTAAAACAGCAGGTGCTGGGTTTAGTGAGTTGGTTAGAACTTAGAAGTGGGAGCTAATTTGTAGGGACGTGGGGTCAGGAGTGTGAGTTAGTTGCCGAGTTAGTCGGACGAAAACTTTGTACTTATATCTTTCTTTGATCAATTGAATAAGGTGTCAGTTTGCATTCTATTGGATTCTACATAGTGGTATCAGAGCCAATAGCAAACTGTAACCAAGATTGATTCTACAAGGGAAGCGCGAGTGATTGGTTTTTTTAAATTGCTTCTGGGTGTGAGTGAAACACGAGGGCAGTGGTGAGATTTGTCTTTGTAGAGGTGAGAGAATACGAGAGACATAAAAGTGAAATCCAATTGCTTGGATTGAGCGGTGGAAGATAGAATCATGGGTGAAAACAGCTTTGTCCAGGTTGGCATACCCAGATTTGATGGTGATTATGATCATTGGGCAATGCTAATGGAAAATTTGTTGCGTTCGGAGGGGTATTGGAGTGTTGTAACTGAAGGAATCAATGAGCCAAAAGCTGAAGTTGAGTTCTCTGCTGCCGAGTTTGAGCTCTCTGCTGCCGAGAAAAAGGCTTTGGAGGAATCGAAATTGAAGGATTTCAAAGCGAAAAATTATCTGTTTTACAGCATTGACAAGATGATTTTGAAAACTATTACTCATAAAGCAACTGCAAAGGAGCTATGGGAGTCTATGAAGACCAAGTTCCACGGGAGTGCTAGGGTAAGACGTTCTCGACTTCAAGCTCTGAGACGGGACTTTGAGCTTCTAGAGATGAAAGAAGGTGAGACGGTGAATGAATATTTTGGCAAAGTCGTGGTAGTTACCAACGGTATGAGAAGCTGTGGAGAGATTATATATGATGTTCAAATTGTTGAAAAAGTACTCAGAACTCTTACCGAGAGGTTTAACTATGTGGTTTGTGCAATTGAGGAGTCAAAGGATATAACTACTTTGTCTGTAGATGCACTCTTGAGTTCACTTTTGGTTCATGAGCAGAAGTTGAATAAGGGCAGGAGTGAACAAGAAGATCAAGCCCTAAAACTGGTAGTTGATAGAAGAGGTCCAGACCGAACATATAATCAAGGCAGAGGAAGGTGTCGTGGTAGCATGTGGAGAAAAGAGACAGTAGAATGCTTCCACTGTCACAGGTTAGGTCATTTCAAATTTGAGTGTCCTGAATGGGGTCAACACACTTTCTGCATCAGTGGTTCCACTAATCCTCAAGCTCATATGAAAGAAGAAGTATTGTTTATGGCTTGTATTGAGTCAGAAGAGAAGGAAGTTCCAGTCCCTATGAGTTTAAGGGAACATACAAAGAAGAGTGCATCATGGTGGTTTTTGGACTTCGGTTGCAGCAACCATATGTGTGGTAACAAACAATTATTTAATTGCATTGATACTTCCTTTACTTGCATTGTTAAGCTAGATAATGGTACTAGAATTCAGGTGCAAGGAAAGGGCACCGTGAGAATGAAGGTGCAAGGAAAAACAGTGATGATTGAGAATGTGTTTTATGCCCCTGGTTTGAGAACCAATTTATTGAGTGCTGGTCAAATGCAAAAGAAGGGAATAACTATTCTTATTCACCATGGAATCTGTAAATTCTTCCATGATGATAAGGGCTTCCTTTTCCGTACTAAAATGAAGACGAATGGCATGTTTGTTTTGCATTCTGACCTTGTTTCCAGCATGGAATCAAAAGCTCAGTGTTTGCTAGCTTCTACAGTTTGTAAGCAGAATCTATGTTTGAGGCACAACTTATTTAGAGGTTTACCAAAGATGTACAACAAAAGAAAGGCACGAGAGCTGCCCCAATATGAAGTATCAAGGGTGTGTTTCCCACTCGATGAAGGAGTGTGTCTAGATTCTATGATAGAAGCAAAAACTGAAGAAGCTCATTCACCTTCATCAGAATCATTGATTCCTGTAATAGCAACGACAAGTGTTTTAGCACATGTAACTGCGTCTACAAGCTCATCTGTCGATGAAGAAAAAGTTATGGATGAAACTGATGGTCTTGGGCTGCAAGCTGCTACGGTATTGGAAGGTTTAAGAAATGGTAACTGGAGGCAGGAAATGAGGTTTTTATTGCAACTTATTGAGAAGAATGATCTATGGCAGCTGTCAAGAGTTGAGAAGATAGGAGCCAAGTTGATCGGCGATGTGTATGTGATGCAACCACAAGAAGTTGTAGTTGCAGGGGAGGAAGAGAAACCACAAGGAGTCGTGGTTGTAATAGAAGAAAAGAGAAACTCAATGTGTAAAGTTTTCTACAGAAGCATGTCACTAGAAGTCAAAAAATCTGTGGAAGTTGAAGCTGAGAAGATGCCACAAGAATTCAATGATTTTACACAGGCTAGACATGAGATGAATGTGTGTGGAATGATGAGATATCTCCCACGAGCTGAAGAATTAAGAAGAGGTGAGGAAGAGGAGTGCTTGATGAGATCCATTAAGCATAGTTATGCTTATGATGTGGATGCTTGGACAAACTCAATACATTATCTTTTGTTCTTGATGCAAGCTGTAGTGTCTTGGAAATTGTCCACCATAGAAATCAAGTATGTAGCAGCAGCTTATTGTGCAGCAAACTACAACTGGTTGACAAGGGTTTTGAAGGAAACGACCAGTTGGAAGGGAAGTATGGTTGAAGGGATCGAAATTCATTGTGGTATAAGGTCAATCATCAAGCAGTTTTCAAATCCAGAATTCATGGCAAAAGTAAGCAAGTGGTTGTTGGTTTGCTACTCCTTAAGTAATAGGATTAATGAAGTGGCGATGAAGCTGGAATCTTGGAATGTCAAAGTTCGAGTAAATAAAGGCACGAGAATACACATGAAAAGTGAGAAAATGGGTTTCAGTTTTTCTCTCTTTAGCAATCTGACTTGTGTTGAGAACTGGGAAGAACAGGATGCATGCGTTGAGAACTGCGAAGAACAGAATGCATATCATATCAAAAGCATTGGAACTAGCCGGATCTTTGAAAGGATACACGGAGAGCTGGAGCCGGGCAAAGAGGATTTGTTGGAGAATATTGATATGATAATTGCTGCTGAAAATTCCGAAGTAGTACTGCGAATTCTCAAGTTACAGTTGTTGTTACTGGTAGGAAATCTGATGCTACTGTTTGTGGTTAAACTGAAACTTGAAACGTTTCAGTTTAGGGGAGGATTTGTTGGAGTTGGGGTTCCAAAGATGGGTGGCGGAGCATTGATGTCAGAAGAAGAAGTTGAAGTTTGTGTCTGTTAGTCAAAACAGTGTCGTGTAGGGTTATTTCTGTTCAGTCACTTAAGTTAGTTAGTATGTTGTTTGAGTCATGTTCGTGTAAAACAGCAGGTGCTGGGTTTAGTGAGTTGGTTAGAACTTAGAAGTGGGAGCTAATTTGTAGGGACGTGGGGTCAGGAGTGTGAGTTAGTTGCCGAGTTAGTCGGACGAAAACTTTGTACTTATATCTTTCTTTGATCAATTGAATAAGGTGTCAGTTTGCATTCTATTGGATTCTACATCCTTGTGGCTTTCCTGTACTTGGTACTATTTGCTCTTCTCTTTAGATTTAATGCATTTCACCCTTATCAAAAAAAAAAAAAAAAGATTCAGCTGGAACGGCAAATGCTGTCGCGCGCGTCTGATGGAAGCTTATGATCGGATGTTATCAACGCGATGGGCTTTGCATGTTTTGCTCGTCTTGTTTTGTATGGCAGGCCGCATCTGAATTGACATTTTCGCTTCAGTGGCCGAACCGAAAATGTCAACCGACAAATGGCCGTTTTGGCATCACTCATCAGGTGTCTATTACATTTGTTTCCTATTTCAGTAAAGTTTGAAAGGCGGCAATCACAACTCAAGGCAAATGGAAACAATCGAATCCATCTTACAAACTAATAATTATCTAGGGCTTCCAGATTTTCGATAGCGTTATTAGTTTTGGTTTAGACTTTTTCAAAACTAAATAGTATTCCGTCAATAACTAGTTAATTTCAATAATTTAAGTTGTTGAGAGATATTCAATTGTGAATCTTATAGCACTCACTAACAATTGTTAGAATTTTGGAGCAATGAAGGCTTAGCATTTTACAAAACTACATAAGATCCAAGTTTGTTTTTTTTTTTTTTTTTTTACAAAAGATAATTTGATATTGATCATAAAATAGATAGTTACACCCTGGAGTTCAGCCAGGCCTGAAAATCAAAGAAATGACTCATAGTCGGGTACAACGAAAGGGCTTTCCGAGCCACCAAATGGGCTACCCTGTTACTACGCCGGCCTACAAATCTAACACTAAGCCCAGGGTTGCTATTAAAATAT